TTCTTAATTATGGTACTAAATTAGACAAAAAATTGAGGCCCCATTTCGGCCCCGGTCGTATGCTGCAAAAAAGTCGCGGCGAGGTCTGTTCCCGCGATGCCCCCTTGCGGCCGGCCATTCGAGGCCTAGCCTTGGATCGGGCTGAAATAACGGTTCCTAGATATGCCGGGAGCGGCTACCCATTTTGCCATTTTTTAGGGTTATTCGTAAAGTTCAGTGTGCCCAAAATCAGGGGCGCCCCGAGTTCCCCTAATTTTTGCTGCCTGGTCATACCAGAGTACCGTCAAAACACGGACTTGTCCCTGAGTCTAAGTCCCAAAACTGCAGATCTCAGGCGGCGCACTGCTTGTGGCCGCCTGACACCGTAATCGACAGGCTCCCCCATCGATTAGGAGTGGAGAATTCCCGAATCTCCGCTTAATCTTCCTCCAGCTCCCCAGCCAGGTGGCTCCCCCGTTTACAACGATGTCTATTTCCTTCTCCCCGCAGTGTACTGCCAACCAATCTGGCCACGACGTGAACACCATTCCTCGATGAGTGATCCTACATAGTCTTTCCGTATTCTTCCTCCCCGTCCTACCTTTCCTTTCCCTCTTCCCCTGCCGTCTTCTGATCCTACCCAGCTTCTCACCCTTCCCAGTATCCCGCGAATTCAGGCCTGGATTGAAATCCGCTATCAGGTACTTTTCAAACGCATAATCGTCGGCCGTGTTAGTATGCCTGAGCGGGATTATCACGTACCTGTCCAAACCAAACTTGCGCAACCACCGATATAGGTGCGGCGACTGTCCTAGGCTATCGCTAAGCGCGTTCCGACAATGTTCCCTCCATCTTTGGATGAGAGGCCTAACAGTACAACCAATGTATGCCTTTTTCGCCCACGGGCTCACTATTGCATACACTCCACCTGTCTGAAGGCTCTGTAAGTCCTTGACCTCATAAGATTTCCCCAAAAATTTCTCTAGTCACCGAATTTGCCCTCTAGCCACTAACAGTAGTGTGAGGGTAGAGATAATACTTTCGACCTTCCTCCTTGTCTCCCCTGTTTCTCCTAGGTCTCTCAGCGCGGCCCTCCGTTGCAGCCAATACGCCAGTTTGTCCCTGAGTTCGGCGTTGGTCGGGCACCGTCAGTCCGAGTCATCAGCAGGCTGCTCCGGTGCTGATCTGATGATCACCGGTACCCTCCTCGGGGTAGGCAGGCCGCTCGTCTCCCGCTCCCTCATGAACCCCTTCCGGGGTGATCCCGAAGCCTTGGTCTTCACTGCTCCCATCGCCGCCCCCGGGTCTTCCTCAAAGCCGTCGTATGCCAACTGAACCTGTTGCCTAGCCAGGATCTCCACGACCTCCGGCTTTGTCGTGTACTTTACCCCTTTTTGCTCGCAAATCTTCCTGAGCACGTCCGCCTTCTTCGCCGAAAAAATCTTGTGTGCTGAAATGCAGTAGTCGATGAGGCCTTTCTGGGAGCATTCAGCTGCCAGCCCCTTGTAGCTACCCGTCAATGGCGTCTTTGGTTCGCCTCGTGCCTCATCCCCGACTGCGTGGTTCTTCCTGATCTCCGTAGTATGGAACCTTTCGTTACCTCCCGGGTCTGTCCTCCCCGGCTCGGAGCACTCACCCCTCTCAAACGTCTTAGGTGGTGTTCCTCCCACTGCACCTTTCCCCTTCACCGCTCTACCCTTCTTGTGTTTGCTCGCTGGCTTCTTTTTCCTCCCTCTGGGGGTTCGCTGATCCCGAGATTCGTCGGAGTCCGTCGTCACTTCATCCTCCGAAGAGTCGTCTTCTATCGTTTCTTCGGAATCCGTCTCATCACTAGACTTCACTACCTTCTTTTTCTTCTTCGTAAGACTCCTCCCCCGCCCGCCAGCTGCTCTTCGGTTCCTCCCTCTCTTTCTTCTCCTTGGCTTCTTCGAAGATCCACTTGCTTTCTTGGCGATCTGATTGTTCTTCCTCCACTCCTCCAGCAGTTCGGCGCGTAGTTGTAGTTTGAATTCCTCAGCTTTATGGGCAAAGTCTAGGTTCCGCCTAAGTTCTTCCTCCTCCTTCGCCCTTTTCTCATCTTCCAGCCTGCGCTTCTCTTCCAGCTCCAATCTCTCCTTCCGCATCACTCGAAAGTGCTTCTTGATCTCCTCCAATTCGGGATCCCCTTGTGGATTCGTGTCACCCCGCGCCTTCCGCGCCCAACAGTCCCGGGCAATATGCCTGGGCTTCCCGCAGTTGTAGCATCCGTTCCCGCGACCTCCCGTCGCGCCGTTGCTGCCGCCTCCGTGATACCCGTCCCAGTTTCCCCCGTTCTGCACCGCGTTCGTGAACGGATTCTCGTTGCTTCCCGTCCCCTGCCCATTGCCCAAGCCAACCGCGTTGCCCCCCGTGGGGCCGTTCGTTAGGAACATCTCGTATATCCTATCGTCCCTCTACTCTCGTCATACCAAGCGTGTCTATATTCTCGAAAACAGTTAACGGAGATCTGCTGAAGCTAGCAGTCTAGAGATTCACTCACGCCATATATCCACGTTCTCGCGATAGCGGATCCTCCGCCTCGTGCGGAGTGTAAGCAAAGTCGTTTCTATCTTAATCAAGAGACTCATAAGCAAATCGTATAACATCTCGTATATCCTATTGCCCCTCTACTCTCGTCGTACCAAGCGTGTCTATTTTCTCGAAAACCGTTAACGGAGATCTGCTGAAGCTAGCATTCTAGAGATTCACTCACGCCATATATCCACGATCTCGCGATAGCGGATCCTCCGCCTCGTGCGGAGTGTAAGCAAAGTCATTTCTATCTTGATCAAGAGACTCATAAGCAAATCGTATAATCCTGCGCGCAGCGTCTCATCCGTGACAACCCCTATCATTAAATGCATTGGTTGTATCGTATTTCTGACATAATCTTCCAAAGCCTCCATCAGCCTAGTTCTCACTGTCGCGCGTCTCCTCACGTGTCTGCTGCTACCTCCGCACCTAACACACGGAATCGGCATCGTGTTTAAAACCCCGATTCGATTACGATAAACCCGATCCCGACTAGTATAATCTCCACTCCATACAAGATGTGTGCCAATCCCGTGCCTCTCCTGATCATCCTATCGGTGACCGCGTATTCGAGGGGAAAAACCCGAGTTCCCTTATACTTCACCAAGCTTATCTTGAGTCCCCGTTGGCCCGGATGCACGTAGTACGTCCGACCTCCACTCCCATGCGAACACCCGAGCTCCACGTAACTCCACCCGGTTCACCAGTTCACCGATGCAAAGGTGCATGTCGTGCGTTCCCCGTTATCTCGCTATCACACCCGTCCTCCCTCTCCTGTTCCGGTCAGTACCATCATCGCCAGTACCTCGAGCCAGTCGACGCAGCCAGGGTTGTCACCCGGGGACCCCCGGGGCCAAAGCCGGGGCCGGGATTTCACCCCCGGACCCCCTCCCGCGGGGGTGCCGACCCCCGTACCCCGAGATTGACCCCCGCGCCCGCCCGACCCTCGACACCCCCGCGAGACCCCGGCCCCGGCACCCAGCACCCCGGCGCCAGCCCTAGCCCCCCGCCAACCCGGGGC